TAGGGGGGGGGGGGGGGGGGGGGGTAATTCCTGCAGGGAGCCGTGAGTGACAGTCACGGCTCTCTGCAGAGACAGGATCGAGAAGTGAGAGAGCGACGGTATGTGTTCGCTCACTTCCCGATCTATTGAGCCGACCTGTGACAGTTTAATTGTCACAGGTCGGCTAGAACTATGAGGCTGAGTGATTTTCACTCACCTCATAGTTCTCCTTTAAGGTATACAACAACTGTCCAGGCTGAGGAAAGCAATTTTTGATGGCACAGCTGGGAAGGCAACTCTATCTTTTTCTAACCAAAACTGCACTTTAATATATAGCCATGAAACATATATGACTGTTGCTAAAAACTGAAAATTGTATCTCTATGCTTGACTTTTTCCAGTCTATGTGCTGTGCATGTAGGCAGAGATACTATTTGTACATTTTCAGCTGTTGTTTTCAGCCTAGGTCAGCTTTAGAACCTAGGATCAGGTAGCTGGGAGAAAACCATAATAAGAAATGAATATACCTGCTAATAATGTAGTTAAGACACCAAGCAAATTCAATCATCATTCCAAAACCATCTTCGGACTCAGAAAGTAATAATCGAAGTATGTCCTGTGTCAGTCCGGCCTCTAGAACAGTTCTGCATAGAGGTAATATAGTTTAATTATTCCAGCAACAATCCTGTTATCATTTAAAGTTTAAATGAAGGTATGAAATAAAAGTAATAGGACATAACAAATGCTGATAATAATGAATATGACAGCTAGACCTGCGTTTTAGCAGGCAGGCTAGTGCGCTGTGGCAGCTCTGGCAGTGTGTCTGGTTTTGCAGAATGCCTAAGCTGTCACTGTTTACATTTTTTTTTCCAACTTTATTGATAGTGTACAATATCTACACTACATTCACAGCAGTGCACGGCATCCAGGGGCATGCTGCATTTTTCTGCAGTGGAGCAAACTGCAATCACACCTGCATTGGGGTTTTACAGGACACATAGAAAACAATTGTTTTTTATGTGTCCTAGTGACACCACATTTCTGGTAGGACCACCAGGTATTTTCTGTACTTGCTAAAATATGTTTTTAGCCTGAAAAGAAGAAATCTAGAGTGGCCACCATATCTGAGAACTATATATATATATGTA